AAAAACACCCTTAAAAGTTTAAATTATAAAAAACCACCCTAAAATTCTAAAATTTGTAAATAACATAAGATAAATTCAAAATATTACCCTTAGACACCTAAAAAATTAAAATTTGCCGAAATTAACCTCAAAATTTTTTAAAAACTCCTTCAAAATTTAAAAATCGTAAAAAAAACTCTAAATTTTCAAAATTTTTAACTAGCACACATCAAATTCGTCGATTGGTAGACCGCTAAAATTTAATATTTTTCAAAATTAATCTATAGTTTTAATAATTACAAAAGACACCCTCAAAATTTTAGAGTTACAAGAAAATACTAACATTTAAAAAATTACCACCAACACATGAAACATAGAATTTACAACTACCAAACTTAAAAGTAAATTTTTTTAAAAACTCTTTAAAAATTTTAAAAATTATAAATCACACCCTCAAAGTTCAAAACCACAAAAATGGGCTAAAATTTTAAAACTTGGCAAAGAAAAGTGTAATTGTTTGGTATTTTTCATATATATATATATTAAAATTTCTAATTTAGGGATTTACTATCCATTTTCAGCATCTAAGAATAGTCTAAGTTGATACTGGTAAACAAAAATAATAAGAATTGATTAAAACATCCGGTTAATGGATAAAATTTTTAAAAATATTATAGATTAAAAATTTATCCGCACTATATAAATTAAATTAATTTCATATAATTTTAGTAATAAGTTGGGGTAGCCAAAATACATTCGTAACATTAATTGATAGATGTTTAAATCCATAGAAATGATAAAACACTATAATATTATACCTTAGCATTAATTGATTTTAATTTAGAACTTTAATCTTTGACGTTAATAATATTTATAGGGTAAAAGAATACAAGGAATTACATATGGGGAAACTATTAGAATATTTAGGGATAACTTTAAAAAAAATTGAGTTATTTCCATTGCAAATGGGAAAGTGATGAAAATAAATCTAAAATTCAGAAAACGTCAATGAAGAGTTATTTCCATTGCAAATGGGAAAGTGATGAAAATAAATCTAAAATTCAGAAAACGTCAATGAATCAATTGAATTGGCATTAATATAAGACATATCTATTAATGAAGCACTGAATGAGTTATATTAAAAAATAATTTAATAACTTTATCCTAATCAAAGAAAAAATCTCCATGGAAGACATAAGAAAAATTAGTAAGTATTCATAAATTCCATATTGTGTTCTTCAAATTAAATATTAATATTATAATCTAAGAGAAATTGGTAATGAATAATGCAGGTATTTAGTTTAGATCTTTATAGAAAATAACAGGGATAGAGCAAAAGTAATATTATTAAAATAACGGAAATTCTTATTGGATGCACATCAGAAGAATTCATTTTAGAGGAAAATAAAGAGATAGCTTCTAATTTATTTAAGTAATAAATTAGGAACACAAAGAATTTTATATATATGAAATTAATATTTATTCTCATTGAAATAAAAAAAAAATCAAAGTCTATATTTTGAGCAGTTTGTGTTGAACATCATAAGTACATTTGACTTCTTTGTAAAGTTAAATGAGATGATAAAAAATTAACGAGCCCAGGAAAGATAATAACATAAAAAATATAAAATTAGCCTGATGTCACAATTGATGTAGATGATGAAGACAATACTCTAGAATTACCCGAGAAATGATAAATGATAAACCTGAAGAAGGATTGATCTTAACTCAATAAAAAATAAAATAGAAGAAATAAAAAATAATATTTTTTGAATATTGTATAGAATAGTTTAATTATTTTGAGTGAAAATAGGAATCTTTAGAAGAGAGTTTCATGAATTTTTTCAATACTTTTATATTCTTATGTGGATGTTTTTATCATATAAAAGTATACTAGAGTTAGCATTAATCTTTAATTTATATTTTTTTATGAAGTCTATCAATGATTAGGAATAAACTTCATATTCTCTTTTGCATCGTTTTAACATACTTTAAATCAATTATTTTGCCATATTGGTTTTAAATATTCACCTTCCTTGTATAACATTATTTTAATATTTTTCACTTTGTAATACTATACTTTCTCAAATAAAGCTTAGTTTCATATCGGTCAAAAAAAATATAAAAATTTAAATTATTTTTAAATTATATTTGTTTTTTGTCAATTCAAATATCAACATAAAAATTTAAATTGGGTGTATCCCATTTAAAAAAACATAAAAAAATAATTGGGATGTAAGAGTTTAAAGAAAAAATAGCACAAACTGTCAAAAATACTTAATCATGGTATTAAATCACGTGCATTGCACATGTGTAAAAACTAGTAATTAGAAACATATTAGTTCTAGAGGTGCTTCTTTTTAACTAAAATCTATCTATCTCAAATCATCGACTATATATCTTACAAACATAGGAGTACACTCCTCCCACTTTAGGGATTGCAAATACCCCAAAACGTTGCCGGAGTCATCGAGAGTTATCCCACCCACGGCCCAATTTATCTATCATGACAATGCAGTAAAACACCAAAATCAGAAATCTGTACAAAATTTTATAAATATATAAATTTATAGAATATACACAAAAGTTACAACAGTGCCAGCTTTGGATGACATATATATATATATATATATATATATATATATGATTTTTTCATAGAAACCACCTTTAAAATAATGTTATTCTGTAGAAACCACATTTTATTTTTTAATTTATACATGAACCATCTTCAAAATATTTTTTTGTTGCAGTCAACCACCTTTAAAATATGGTCGCTCTATGGAAACCAAATTTCATCTTTAATTTATACATAAACTATATGTGCTCACTTTTAGGTCAAGTTTTTCCTATCGTTTTTCCTATTATAGTTTAGTTATCAAATACCAAATATATTAGAGAGATTGTAATTAATTGAGGTTAGGTAGGATCAATTACAGAAAAAACTTAACAGAAATGTGGGTCCATGTTGTTAATTGCAAAAAAAACTTTAAAGATGGTATACGTATAAATTAAAAATAAAATGTCGTTTCTATAGAATGACTATATTTTAAAGGTGGTTTCTACGAAAAAACCTTATATTTAAGAGAAAATTATGCACAACTGATCAATCAAACTTGGAGAATTTTGATTCAAGCATAACAAACAAGCCTGTTAGAACGTTGTTCATGTAATATTCATGTTTGATTTATAATAAACTCTCATTCGCTACTGATATGTTTGTGAGATGATACATTTTAAGTATAAACATGTACGAACAAATTATAGTTCAAAATAATGCAAAAATCAGCACGAACGTTAATTTTAGCCTTTAAACCATGGATGGTCATAAGTCACAATCGATGGTCAAGTCAAGACATTGATGGACTACATGAAAGAATCGGAGAAACGAAAACTCAAAATCAAAGCATCGATGGTCTACAGTCGACCATCAATGATCGCGTAGACCATCGATGAACTACAATCAACACTCGCAGAAATCTAGAAACCAGAATTTGCATAATCAAAAGGACTATAGTCAACCATCAATGATCATCAACAGACCATTGATGGTTGTAATCCATCATCGAGGATTGCGATGAATTTTAGCAGATTTCAAGTTTTAATTTCAGTCGTTCGTCAATTCTTTTAATCTTCTATTTGGACGCTGATTTATCTCTTTCTCATGCTATCAATGTTTATTTAAAGGAGAATTGAGGAAGAGAAGGAACAATAAGAAGAGAGAGGTAATTGCATAAAAAGAAAGATTTTATTTCCAGGTCTGACCCGACCCATTACCGACCGTGTCAGGATGTGACCCATGGAGGGTTGGATTGGATCAGCCCATGAGTCGAGCCGGCTCATGTCCAACCCTATTGCTTTTGTTAAGTTGTGCGCATTTTTTGTATCGTCCAAATATCTATATTTTTCTTGATGTCGCTGTACATTGATGGAATAAGTCAAAACCATTTAACCGACACCAAAAAAATTAAAAAGAAAAATAAAAAACTATAAATAAAAAATAAAAAATAAAAAACGCGCACAAGATCTCGTCATCTTCACTCTTTTGTTTCATCCTGCATCAAAAATATTCTTTGCCGGATTACCCGCTCGCTAACCTCGGAAGATTTTATATAAGGAGGGGGGAAAACAAGATAAAGAAAATAAAAACGATATAGAGTCTCCTATAGAAACTCATGAGAAAAGAAGAAAATTGGTATATGACCATTTTAGCACTTGATGATTATACTAATACAAATATATTAGACTAGTTTAATATTAGTGATTGCAATATTACAATATTCTAGTTACATGTGTGTTTATTACACTAGTTTATACTATGGAGTGACATATGTGTTTGTCACCTCCATCTTCAAATGCAAATTGCATTATAAATTGTTATAATGTAAAATTATAACCTCAACATTGATTACAACTTTAAAGCTACACTATAGCAATATAGCATTACAGCAGTCCAAGTTTTAATTCTACCGATCATAAATTAGATATAGATTTTGAAAAAAAAAATTATTACCTCTGCATGAGTATATATTTCTCCTCGTATTAGTGACATTCAGCCACAAAAACGTCAGAGTATAAAATTGTAATCCTGGACACCAAGTATCACAATATCAAACTACGTTATTTGGTGTCATTTATTAGGTGGGGGCGCCTTAGGAATTTGCCCTCTCGCCTTTTGTGCTTTAAATTCTGACAACGGAGTTCAAACTCAGAAAGGTCCCTATGGTTTGCGCCATAAATCTATTAAGCCCCCAGACTATTATTTGAATCTATTAAGCCCCTATAATTTTTATTTTGAATCTATTTAGCCCCTATGGTGTTTCTCCATAACTAAAAAGTAGATTCAATAAGACAAAAATATCATTTCTTTAGTTATGGAGAAACACCATAGGGGCTAAATAGATTCAAAATAAAAAACATAGGGGTTTAATAGATCCAAATAATAGTCTGGGGGCTTAATAGATTTACAGCGCAAACCACAAGGGCCTTTCTGAGTTTGAACCCTCTGACAACGAGCCGCATTTTTTATCACAAAGGCTCTCTCTGCCTTCACGTAGTTGCAACTGAAGTAAATAAATAAATAAAAGGGGAAAAAAGCAAAAAAGAAAAGAAAAGGAGGAGAATGAAGGGGAGCCTGTCTCATGAGCTTGAAGTGGCTCTGCCGGCCTACGAGGTGTGGGAAGTCTACAGCACGCTGCGGTTGGCCGAGCTCACCGTCGACTTGCTGCCGGATGTCGTCTCAAAGTTCGAGGTCGAAGAAGGCGATGGCGGTGTCGGCACTGTTCTTCGATTAACTCTTGGGCCAGGTAAGTTTGCTTCCCATCATCCCACGTCATCCTACGGCCACCCGATGAAAATTATTGCACGTCGGAATTTCTATTGGATGCCTCCGTGCTCATAAGCTGATTCAAATCGATCGTTCTAATTGCTAACTCTATTCTGGACTTGAAGGACTAGTTTAAAGAAAACTTAAGAATTAGAAGGCTTAATAGTAATTTCTAATTTGAGTGACTAATTTTAATTGAGATTGGAGACCAGATAGCAATTTGCATAATTTGAAGGAGTAATTCAAAATCCTTTTGGTTATTTAGTGGCTTATTTCGACTTTGGTACTCCAAAGTTTATCTATTTTATCAATTTTGAAGCCTTACAGTACTCTTTTCGACAAGAAATAGGAGTTTGTTGTTGAAAGGAGAAACTGATATAATAGTAAATTTCTATCAAAGTGACAGCTAAATTCTATGTTAAGTGGGGATTGGCAACATGAATGCTCAAGAAGAATCGTAATATCTTTATTATTATCTATTGAAAGAAAATGAATAAACTTAAAATTAAAAAATCTATAGCATTAACAACCTAAAATTTTATGAACCATTTATAAATTCTCAATACAAAATTCCAGGAAAATTTGAGATATTTTATCTATAGCCAGATATTCATATTTTCATATTAGTCCCTCACATATTTAAAATTGCTCATAAGTCCTTCAAATTTTAAAGGGTCGCCTCAATAAAAAATGTGTAGATTTGTAGTGTGCAACTATTGGGAAAAGCCTTTGGGGGTATCACAGACAAAGAGATGTTAATCTTAGGGTATTAGAGTGTCAAAGGAACTTTGGAGTATGGAAGTTAGAAAAGTTATAAATTTTATGGCTTTTAAAAGTTAAACCTTTCAAATCATGGATTTTTTTATTTATCTAAATACAACTTTAATTTGTCATTTAGTGTTTTTTATAGAGCCAAAGTTCTATTCCCGTTTACTTTAAACCCACATAGTTCTATATCTTCTCGGACACCTATAATACAGAGTTTTCCTTTAAACCCAAATTATACAATATAAAATGTATCGCTAGAAAAAATAAACCATGTAGCCAGTCAGTGGCAAAGCTAGAGCTTTATCCCACTGGTGGCCCTATGTAATTACCATGGTTATATTTAAGATCTATATTAATAATTTTATAATTTTATACTTCTCAATAGTGTCCTGCCTAAATTTAGTGGTGTCCCAAGTAGTAAATGCATGTAAAAGTAAATAATAGTATGCATATCGCTCCACCCTTATGTAGTTGTGCCGATGCCGACAGTATGTAACTATACATTGTATAGTATATATATAGCTATACATTCTATAATATTTAGGTATATACATTTTATATTATTAGGTATGCAACTTGTGGCTATACACTTTATATTCTATATTCTGGGTTTAAAGATAAATAAGCTTTGTATTTTGGGTATACGTGAACAGATACACCTGTGTGGGTATATACATTGTATAGTGTATACTGCTCTTTTTTCTATTTTTTTGTGTGGTATGTATATTCTCTGTAAATTTTTTCTTTTTGTTCACAAAAATATATATACATGAACAGGAATGCTATTCCTGTTTCTTCAGTTCAAAAAAAAAAAAAAATAAGCTTTGTATTTTGGGTATACGTGAACAGATAGACCTATGTGGGTTTTAAAGTAACTGGTTGTACAATAATGGGTTTATAATACAAATCCCTATTATTTATTTCTCAAGCTATTGCATAAAATAGCGAGGCACGTCACTATGTCATGGGTCCCACCACTTAATATGAAATTTGTGAAGCTGGTTCTAAAATAAATGATAAATATCATAAAACCCCCTTAACTTTGGTTGATTATCAAAATCCTCCTTAACTTTCAAAATAAAAGAAAACATTGCTTACGTTTATTAGAAAACCCCTTCTGGCTTGAGAGTTTATCTGGAAACTCCCCCTAAGTTAGAAGAGTTTTCTGATAAAATCTCAACGTTAAAGAGTGCTTTTGATTAAACTGAAAGTTAAAGAGGGTTTTTATAAAATTGAAAGTTAAAAGGGAGGCTTTTTTTTGATAAAACTGAAAGTGAAAGGGGTTTTGGTGAAAGTTAAAGGGGGTCTTTGTGATAGTCTTTATACTTAAGGGTGGTTTTCTCATATTTTGAAAGTTAAGGGGATTTTTTTTTTGGACAATCATCCAAAGTTGTTTTTTTTTTTTTTTTTGGGGGGGGGGGGGGGTTTTTTTTTTTATTTTATGATATTTAGCCCAAAAACAAAATGAGGAGAGCTGTTGGGGCATCGGGCCCCACTGTTGATGGGGCCCACCAGGTGTTGAAGCGCACAACTCTGATGAAAACAAGCAAGTGTCTAGGAAAAAAAGCTTAATTACGGATACGAAAGTACTGCATCAAAACCTTTTTCACGAATTCTCCAACATTTCAAAGAGTCTCAAATTACCAGTACCTTTTAACTTTTGTCGCATAATTAAAAAAAAACCTCTTTAACAATTGGATGACTTTATTATCTATCCAGTTATGTTATTTCCTAGTTTAATCTGGAGTTCATCTTTTCTCCTAATATCTTTACTCCTTCGCTGGTTTTATAGGAAAAGAAAAAAAAAACCTTGGGTGTTATATGAAACTCTTTGTAGTATTGAGGGTTTTGCGGCAAAAGTTTGGAGGCTCTAGTGGACAAACAAAGTTTAGGCGTTTTTGTGGAATACGCCCCAAAGTTTTTGGGGTGGTTTTCTGAAATTTACCCTGCTACCTCATCAAATTACCTACTTACATTTGCTACCTCATAAAACAAATTACCTATTTACATTTTGTCGAGGGGAGATGTGCACTGCCTCATGTTAGTTGTCAACGGATCTAATGCCGACAATATCTCGTGAGACGTATCTCTGGAGGCTCCAAAAAGGGACTAAGTAGAAATTTGTCAAAAGTGAGTATTTAGAGTAACGTATAGAAGAGAAATTAATACAGACGTTGGCAGGGAGAAGAGAGGTAACAACTTAGAGCAAATGAACTGGATAACATGACTTATGAGCGTGCCAACTTTCAACAAGTATTGCTGACTTATTGATAGCTTTTCTCGTTGTCGAAACCTAACTGTATATTGTAAATGCATAAAAAAAAATCCCTTCCTTTCTAAATCAATCAAAGGATTTGAATGACTTCACAGTCCCGTTTCTGTTGATTAGATAGGGATATTATAAGTATCAAGGAGTTTGGAAACATAAATAAATTTTCTAAAAGAACATCTAAGCAAACTTAAAATTTTAATCTCTCCTAATGGCAGGAGCTCCAGGTATGACATATTACAAAGAGAAGTTCATCAAGATTGATCATGAGAAACGCTTGAAGGATGCCATCGTCGTCGAGGGAGGATATCTGAACCTTGGCTTCAGCTCATACTTAGTTCGCTTTGAGATTTTAGAGAAGAGCAGTGATTCGTCCATCATCAAGTCCACCATTGAATACGAACTCCCGGATGAGCACGCAGCAAATGCTTCCTTCGTCACCACTGCCGCCTTGGCAGCCATAGCTGAGGGAGTTTCAAAGCATCTCACTGAGAAGAAAAAGGCGACAGAAGCCTAGCTGGCTGGTGTCCTGCAATCTCAGTATTTCTCTCCGCACTGCTGCAATATTGCAGGCGGAAGCTTTCGTCTGTAGACTGTAGGCTGGTAGTGTTTACAATAAAGATGGAAATGTGTTCGTAATTTTCCGTTTGTATTGATCCTGCACAGCTTAAAGTATTTGCTTTGAATGATAGCGATGACGTTTGGCGCTTTGGTTTGTATTATCAAGCGATTCTCCATTTTTTGAGCTAGTATTCTTGCATGAAAGGGTCTTTGCCCGGATATATAGTTGGTTCTGTGTATGGAATCATAGGTGGAGAATGGAGCATGACATGTTCTAAAGAGGCATATATGTATGGATGACTTCATTATGATCGCATATACTGCAGCCCAGCCCACTAGTACAAAGATGGCCAGTCCCAACAGGTGGTGGGAACCGTTGGGGAAACTTTTCGTAACCCCAACAGTTCTAACCGTTGGGCCATTTTTTTTTACGATGTAGGGAATTTTCCCTCCCTCTTTTTATCAAAAAAAAAAAAAAGAAAAAAAGAAAAAGGCCCGTGAACCCCATTTCTTTGTTCTCCTCTGTCAAAAAACCCCCAAATCCCTTCTCCTTTGCCGCCGCCCTCCCTAACCCTAACCCAAACGCCTGCCATGTTGCGCCTCTCTTCATCGTTCCTCCCCCGCGCTCGCTCCGCCGCCCTCGCTCCGCCGCCGCCCTCTCGCGGTCCTACTGCCTGATCCCGATGGTGATTCCTTTGAACCGTAACCCTAATTCCCTATGAAGAAATTCCCAATTTCTTCCAGGTTACCTCAAAACCCACACCCTAACTACTGAAATCCCTAGATATCAACAAAATCCCCATCAGAAACAAAACCCTAGGGATGTTATCTGTTCCGACCCCGTCGGAGCCAGAGATTATTGAGGTCAGAAGAAAGATAAGATTGAACCGCGAGATCATGGTCAAATTCACCCAAACCCCTGACGGTGTGCTTGTTTATGGAGGTAAATCCTCATTCTTGCATATGATGTTTGCGATTTTCTATTTGTAGGGCGACATATCACTATCTCCGTTTCCTTTTTATCTCGGGGTGATTGTTTATGAGAAAATACAACAGAAATTTATATCAAACTAGTTATGAGCGTAACCAGGTCTGGGAGTGTGGGAGATACTTCTATTTTCTTGGCATCTGAACACTATGTGTCGCTCCGGCCCATGACTTTGTTAATCCAGATCGTATTTATCTTACAGACCATTATTTTGTTTGATAGATTGATAGAGCTAAGTGGGTCAGCGAGATGAGAGCTTATGATTTGAAAGATGGAAGCATTCTGTTCCGTGAGCTCAGGGATTTCTTGCGACGCCTTAAACTTCTCTTGTGTTAGAGGTAACTTCTCATTCCTGCGTGATATTTTAATTTTTATTTACAGAAGATACAGCTATCCTGTTGCAAAGAGCTAAACTGTATCTCTTTTTTTTTTCCTTTAGCTATGCTTGATTGTGTATGCGAAATATCAATTCTAAATTTTGTTTCATGCCATTACATGTTGCATCTAAGATTAATCCTTTTTAGGTCGTTTTTAAGTGATCTACTTTTGATTTAGTTTTACCATTAAAATTGTTAGCAAAGCCAAGTTTTTCTGTATTATCAATAGTTTCCTGCTTCTATGGTGGCTTACTCTTTTTTTCAAGCGAGGGGCGTAATCTTGAGTACAAAAGTTTGTAGCGAGTTTCATGATGTGAAATGTGGTGCTAATCAGTCAGAGTTCCCTGTAGGCTGTCTAAAAATCACAATGGATAGTCGATCCCTATCAAGCCCTGATAATAAAAGTTACAATCAGACGACTTTCTGATCTTTGCATCCGCAATTCTGCAACCGCTATAGACACGGCCTCATCTCTGAGATGACTGATCTTGATGGCTGCGACAACAGCATGACTAATATGATATTAGCAACTATTAGAGATGCTGATGAGCAGTGTAGTGATTTCAGAAATCAAAGGTTGGACTTAGTTGGTGAGTTGCTTGGTAGAGAGCTATGGGCAAATATTCATCTTCAAAACACTATGGATGTTGATTCCCGTCTAACTCCAACAACGAAAGCTACAATCAAATAGCTTTCGGGTCGACAATCGAAAGCGGTAAATAGAGGACCTTTCACGTAGATCGAGAAGAGTTACAATTCGACGACGCTTCCGACAACTGATGAAAGCTCTATTCTGCAGCCTTCGCAACCAACAGTGAGAGTTACAATTTGACGACTCTCATATCCTATAACAGGCAAGGATCAATAAACAATAGCCTTCGCAATGTTATAATGGATGAGGTTACAAGTCAACAACCTCTCTCAAACGCAGAAAGTCATTCCTGCGTTTCCTAAGTTCAAAACGCACACTTGTGTGTTCCTCAGCAGACATCGAACTCTGTAACGCAGAGTTAAAGTACAAGACGCACACATAACGTGCGTTCTTCAATAGACTCAATTATGTGCCCCAAACTCTGGACGCAGAGTTGAGCTTCAACGCACACGGCCTGTGCGTCTCAAATCTCTAACAGAGATTTAACTCTGCGTCTCAAGCCTTGGACGCAGAGTTAAAGCCCATAACGCCAACTGAGGCGTTTTGACTTGTTCAAACGCAAGTCGAACGGCCTCAAAACCGTTATCCCACGTTCTGAGGGATCTTCGCCCACTTAGGAGCGGATTTAGGGATTGGTTACATCACTAACCCCCTATAAATAACCGACTTACTCAACAGAGTAAGGGGTTGATCGGTTGGTTGGTGAATCGGCTTTTAACAGTAAAACCGCATAAGGTTAAGGAGGAGCTGGCATCAAACCCGCCCAAGGTCAACAAATCTCAGCAGTTCAACAGCACGAAAGAGGAGATCTTTTGAAGATCAAAGAACTGATCAACGATCAGTTAATCAAATCTCGGAGGATCCCTTCATCAACGTCATAATACACTTGGCAATTAACCGAATCTTCGGTTCCAACAACTCTGTTACAGAGTTTTAACTCATTCTGAGTTCTTAAACTCGTCAAGAGTTCTTAATTAACTTGCAACACAAGTTAATCACATCGAGCCAGACATTCGGTTTTCAACAACTCTTATCAGAGTTCTTAACTCGTTCAGAGTTCTTTACACTCGTTAAGAGTTCTAAACCGAAGTCAGCAAGCACTTCAATTATTCCAGTGAAGAAGGACGGTCGGATCGTCAACGGAGAGCAAGTTCGACGCGATCAATCGAAGGAGGCACTCCACCGCTACCAAGAAGAACCCAGTTTTAAACAAAGGGGAGAATCAAATTCATTCTCCTCTCTTTTGTAATCGGAATCCAAATTGTAATCGATTTTGAGAGAATACAAGTCAAATTTTCTTTCTTTGTCTTTTTACATCAAATTTCCAACAAACAAAAGATGGCGACTCCGCTGGGGACTAGCTTCTCTGACGAGGAAGTGGTGGCGCAATCCGACGTTCACCTCACAGGAACCACCGTCGAAACTCTCGTCGTAGAGTTCGACCAAGCCAAGTATGAGGAGGTCCTCTCCTCTGGGTCCCTTAGCCCAAAAGCTAGGCGTGATACCCACAGGACCTCTACGGAGGTCAACACTACTGCTGAGATGCCAAAGAAAGCCCTCTCCTTTGGCCAAGACCTTAAACTCGCTCTGCGAGTTGAAGATTCCTCCCCCGTATCACTACGGCAAATAATAGGTCAAAAGAGACCTATGTCGGAGGAAAATCCAACCAACGCCGACGATGCCGCGGCCAAGACCTTGAAACAGGCCAAGAAAAATGCTGCTCGGCGAAGGAGAAGATCCTTACGGCGAGCATACTTGCGGAACAGCCAAGCTACTGCCCAACGCAAAGACTGCGTTTCTGAGCCTGTGCCCGAACTGTGCGTTTCTGCTCCAGAACGCACACTTCGTGGCAATGAACCCGACTATGAGCCTCGGGTTATTCAACTCAAACGCGACCCTCAGTGGCGCGTTGTTCAACATAGACGCACACCTCAAAAGTGCGTCCCAAAACGTGACCTCCAAAGGCACGTTCAATCATTCAAACGCACGCCACAACCGTGCGTTCAGTCAAAACAAGACCCTCAAGGGTCTGTTCAAACAACCAAACGCACACCACAAGTGTGCGTTCAATCAAAACCCGACCCTCAGGGGTCTGGGTCATCAAACAAACGCACGCCACAAGTGTGCGTTCAATCAAAACCCGACCCTCAGGGGTCTGGGTCATCAAACAAACGCACGCCACAAGTGTGCGTTCAATCAAAACCCGACCCTCAGGGGTCTGGGTCATCAAACAAACGCACGCCACAAGTGTGCGTTCAATCAAAACCCGACCCTCAGGGGTCTGGGTCATCAAACAAACGCACGCCACAAGTGTGCGTTCAATCAAAACCCGACCCTCAGGGGTCTGGGTCATCAAACAAACGCACGCCACAAGTGTGCGTTCAATCAAAACCCGACTCTCAGGGGTCTGGGTTATCAACCAAACGCACATCACAAGTGTGCGTTCCAGCAAAGAACGACCCTCAGGGATCTGTTTCTTCATCTAAACGCACACCACAAGTGTGCGTTCAAACAAAGAACGACCCTCAGGGGTCTGTTTCAACATCAAAACGCACACCACAAGTGTGCGTTCAATCAGGACAAGATCCACAAGGATCTAGTCCATCAATCAAACACAGGCCTCAGCCTCGTGTTTATAAACCTAAACGCGACTCTCGTGTTAAGACCTCTGAAATTGAATATCCTGAGGTCACCATCAACATGGTCGGCAGAGGCAAATCCTCACATCCTTATTCTGATGAGTCACAAACAAGTCATTCCCTGACTGTTCGGGAAATCTGTGATGAGTTTGAGGGAGTATATAGGCATACTCGGACTCAGACAGGAGCTATTCGCCCGGTTAACTATCAAAAGTTAGCCAAAGGGATTACCACAAGTGATGAACATTCGGCAATAGTCGAATCTCAATCTTTGAGCTCGGTCGGACCACAAGAGGTATCTGCTTATATGGTGGGAAATCCCGAGGACATAGCCAAAAGAGTGGACGAACATCACGTTATGCTCCAGGCGCAACAGGAGACACTTCTCCAATTGAAGGACATGTTGGCCCAAGTTCTGGCAGAAAAAGGCCAAAAACCTGAATCTTTCCGAAGGACAACCTCCAAAGGGAAACAGAAAGTGACTGAGCATTCGGATCGTGAGACTCACAACCTAGGATCC